CATTTACTCTATGGCTTGGCACATACAGATATTAACTAATATTATTACCAATTAGAGAGTCTTTTTGAAGTAAGTCAGAAAGCCTAAAATATTCACAGGGACCACGGTAGAATGAAAAACATTCCGTATTTAATCCTTGGGCCAATACAATTAGTACTCTTCAAATAGGCCTCCGGCTCTCTGTTAAAAGAAACGTGAAACAGCCCTAATGCTATCTACCACCGCAAGCAGAATCCAAGTTCACCCTTGGTGATCATTGCTGAGAAAGATTTGACACCAATATTCAGGCAAAGAACAAGGTGGGAGTTTGTTCAAAATGATCGAAGGTCCTTTCCTGAACTAGTCTCTACGATTTTTTTCACAAAAATATTTCATTGGAGTGTTTTCTTCCCAGGTCTTACAAATGCTAAGTAGCTTCTCTCAGTATGTGCCAGATTCTCCTTAATTTGCATATAAACATATTCCCATCTTTCATTTAATTAAAGCATTATTATTGATAATTCATGATCGTTTACTATATTTACAATGTGGCGGGCATTATTGTGGCAGTCACATGAAAGCTAATAATAATCAATGGCACACTATTGGAAGATTTTTATAATCAAATAGATTCCAATGGATGCCATTCCACTTTATGAAGTCTGGAAAAATGTAAAAATCAGTTTATTGCTAAACCAGGAGAGCTCTATTAATCAGTATTTCTATGCTTACCAATATAACGATAAGGAATATTTCTTGATGTTTTATGATAGTAAATTATGTGCAGGATTGTTTCTGTGTTGTGTACCTTTTGTACTCTAATTCTTTAAACTTAATGGACTCAAGATATATATGGTGATTTGCTACTAAGAGCATATTTTGTTAATCAAAGCATCCTATTATTTGATCATTCTAAAACAATTGGCTGCCTGTAGCTAATCTTACCCAGTAAACTAGCGGCTGTGGGTTTGTTGGGAATTTTTTTTTTTATGTAGTCATTCTTTATCCTGTTTTTTCAGATGATATTTTAGTAGATTTTCAGAGTGTCAAATAACTGTTTATTACACTGGATTCATTTCTCTCTCTTTTTGGACATTGCAGGTGAAAGTAGGGAAGAAAAGTTAGGAGACTCATTGCAAGATTTATACAGGGCACTGGAGCAAGCCAGTCTGTCACTGCTGGGAGAACATCGCATTTCAACCAAGATGGAATACAAGCTATCATTCATAAAGAGGTGCAATGATCCTGTGATGAATGAAAAGCTGCACAGGCTGAGAATTCTCAAGAGCACTTTAAAGGTAAGCTAGGAAATGGGAGGAGAAATTTATTTCAAGGGATTGATTCCCGAATTCACAGGCGATGAGCAGATGCTGTAGATGAAGAAATAGGAAACAGGATGGGGGCGGCTGGGGACGGTACATAAGCAGGAGGAACCTGAAGCTGGGCTGTTCTGACAGCAGAATAAGTGTATTAATAAAGAGGAAATAATCTTAACTTTTCTTAACATCTCAAAGCACTGCCTAAATGTTATGTGACTTAGCCCAGGAGAAAACAGGATGTAATTAATTATTTTTCCCCAAAACTGCATGGCTGCTGTTATTGCTCAGTCTTTTGTTTTCCTAAGACAAGTGCGCCATGTAGTGTAAGTAATACAGTCATCAGAAGGACACAGCATGCGTGCAGAGTGCAGTAGTGGGTGCTAAAAGGGTTTGCAATATTTTGGGACTATTTCCTGAAGCACATTTGAAATGAAGCCACAGTGATTCGTGTTCCATGTAGAAATTTTATAATTGTTTGTTCTCTTTACACTATCCGTTCCCAGTGCATATGTTACTTCCCTGTTACACATTTCCACAAGTGCTTACATTGTCTCCCATCTTCTCAGGCCGGGAACAGATAGGGGAGGGGAGGGG